GGTTTTAGGTCCCCAAATCCATACTCTGTATGGCTTTTGGAACTTGAAACCCTACTATTTGGGCACTTGGGCCCTTAGGGTATGGAACCCTAAAGGGAATTCTGCCCTCGCCTTCGCAGAACCGCCAGGCCAATCCTTCCAGCAGCCACCGTGCCGACGTGCATGCCTGGGCTGTGGGAAATCATCCTGCCTTTCTTGGAGGTTCATGGGTAGTTATAAGTGGGGTTAGAAGTAGGGTAACTATAATTATAACCCGTATTAGGGGACTTACATATAACTACCCATGAACCTCCAAGTTGGGGGCTTAAACAGTAGCGTGGGGGGGTATACGAAAATATAACTCACTAGTAAGACAAGTAGTCAGGCTTCCATATTCTGCACTTTTCAGAGTCTGTTCGGGCCGAAAGCATTGGGATTGGGGGCCGGGAGCATCCTACTTTATGGTTTCTTGATTGTTGGCTTCAGACCTTCCAACTGACCAGAATAGAAATGCAGGGTCGCTTCTTGTTTTTGAGTGTAGACTGAAGGGCTTCAGCATGAAGAGCTTTCAGGTTCATGAAAAACGCATTTTGAGTCTGGGGGCTTGACGGGCAGCATTTCGGGTTAAAAAGCTGCTGCATTCAAGAAACCGAAAGGCTGGACGATTTCAGAAGTACCTGAACTCCTAAACACTAGCCCCATAGCATACTTGCTGTAGGCGCCTTACTATTTAGAATACGAGTTTGGGGTACACATTATGCTCTAACTACCGTAGAAACTTCAAGACAGTATTGGCAATTTCTTAGGCCCCAATATTGCCTGAACCCCCCCTTCTCTCCTTGCCCACCCTCGTGTACTCCGCCCAGCAAGGGATTCGGCAGAGTGGAGTGTCAATAGCCCGGGAGTGCCCGCAGAACATACCTGCAGTGCCCACCCGAAGAATAACTTGTCTTATCATAAAAAAACCGCATGCCACCTGCCAACAAACTTATCCGTGCCACGCCCAACAAGTATGCTGCAGAACGTTTCGCCTTCTTCTAGCAGAGTGGCTTTCTGGCAGGGTCGGGATGTTCGAAGTAATTCATTGTAGGAGTATTGGGCCTCTCTGGGAAAACCTAAATCCTTGAAAGAAACACTAAACCTGGCGCCCTAAATCCGAAAACCAAACACACACAGCAAACAAACACCCCAAAACTCGCCTTCCACGTCGTAGGCTTTCGCGACGCAGTCCGCAATGTGCCAGCCTCTGAAACGATACATAGCAGAAAACTAAAAAAATACAAACAGATATATGCATATATATATATA